TCTTAGACTCTCAGGGGCCCTCTTGGAGCCACCTTAGGCCATCTTGGACGCTCCAACGCCTCGCGGCCCTCCCCCGTCCATGTCCAGGGGAGGGGGTTCGGGCAAGCTAGGTGCGCTCGCGTCATATCTGACGTCCTACCCCTCCCTCCCATCCCTCACCATGATCTCCTCTCTATTCGCACAATCGGATATCGTAGCATGGCATAGCATTACATGGCATAGCATGCTGTTGAAGATTAACGCGTAGCATGACATAGCATGGCGTGGCGACGCCCCAAAGTGGGGTGGGGGGGCTTCCGCGGCCCAACAAATCAACCAATCGATACCGAATGTGTAATCACTTCCGATGGTCTTCGGGATCTGATTTTTTAGATTTTGGGACCTATTTGGAAGGACCGAAAACCATGCCGTGACATGGCTTTGGAAATAATGACGCCAGCGCTGCAGCGGGAGCACGATTCGGAACGAGCGGAAGCGCGGAAATGAGGACGCGTAGCCTGGCATAGCATGGCGTGGCGACCCCCCAAAGTGGGGGAGCTTATGCGGCCCCCCCCAAAAAAACGAACCGGCACCGAATGTGTAATCACTTCTGATGGTTTTTTCGGGGGGGCATTTTTTAAATTTTGGGGCCTATTTGGAAGGACCGAAAGACATGCCGTGGCATGGCGCTGGAAATGATGACGCCAGCGCTGCAGCGGGAACACGATTCGGAACGAGTGGAAGCGCGGAAATGAGGCCAGCGCTGCAGCGGGAGCACGATTCGGAACGAGCGGTAGCCCGAAAATGAGGCCAGCGCCTCAGCGAGAGCAGCATTTTGAAACAAAAACCCAAGCGAAAACCCAGTTCCCAGGGAATCCTGTGTGTAAAAAACCAGTACGCGGAGGGGGGCCGGCCATTCCCTGGACGCCACCAGGGGAGAGAGGAGAGTAGTATTCATATTGTTTAGCTCACTATAGCTCACTCCCACCCGCCCTCCCAACACGTGAGTAACATCCAAGCCTCAGCATCTTCAGCGGTCATCTTAGGATGGACAGCTACTGGGAACCCAAACCGAGCCAATTTGCGCGACGCTGGGGCGAGGTGCGCCACGCGTGCCAGGCGCGCCACGCTCGCCAGGCACCCGCGGGACCCGAGCGTGCCAGGCATGCCTGGTGCGCCAGATGCGCCACGTGCTCCGCGTGCGTCGGGTGTGCCGCACACTCCAGCTGCGCCAGGTGCGCCACGTTCGGGGCACGCGCAGAGTTTGTCAGGCGCGCCTGCGCACGTGACAGCAAACATCGGGAACCATGTTGGCCCCCACCATCCTTGTCGAACCGCAGTGCCCATCATTGTGTCTGGTGGGCTTGCGCACAGCGGGCCATACGCTGCCACCCCCGCCGTCCTTGTCAAAACCATGTGACAGTGATCGCGGGACGCGGTGGCCAAAATCCTGTCAAAACCACCCGGTGGCCGCGCATGGTCCAGATCTAGCCGCGAGGAGCCTTCCGTATTTTTTTTTGTCAGGGATGGTAACCCTGCGCGCAGCAGGGAATATGCTGACACCCCCGCCGTCCCTGTCAAAAACAATCTAAAGTGCTCGCGGGCCTCACGAACATGACTCAAGACTTTGCCCCAAAGTGTATTCTGTATGGTTTTTGACAGGGATGGTGGGGGGGGCCGCATCGGGTTGGCCGCGCATGTTCAACATAATATGGAGGCAGAGTGTGTTTTGTATCGTTTTTTGACGGGGATGGTGGTGGGGGTGGCCTGCATGGGGTTGGCATGGTTCCGGGTTTGCCGCTGGTCGCCTGGGGGAGGGTGTATATTAATAGGGACCAGTGATAAGCCCCTCCCCGAACGGGAAGAAGGGGGTTGGAAGAGGAGCCTCCCTAGACCATCTACGCCAAAGGGCTGGTGGGATTTACCAGGCTTGCCCGTTCGGTCGCCCGAGCACACAAGACGGCCCAAGACGGCCCCGAAGATCGTCCCAAGACGGCCCGAAGCCACTGCTTGTCCTCAATTAGGTTTTGAAGGATCTGTTTGGTTATCTTGCCTCTTCGGGATTCCGACGGCCTAAGGCGGCCCCAGGGGCTTCCCAGATTGGCCCTGTGGCCCTGCCAGCCGTTCGTGACCTGGGAAGGCTGAAATTTGAGACTCTTACATCAAGGGAGGAAATACCACCCGGACTGGACATTTGGCGTTTACTAAACGGCCCTGGGCGTTTACTAAACGGCCCTGCCCTGTTTGATTCCTTCTTTAGGTGCGTTTACTAAACGGCTTCGCGTGTCGGGGTGGTTATTATCGGGGTGGATTTTTCTGCACTCTATTATACCCCTGCCACACGTGGTGAGAATCCAATGTTTCTGCCACACTTCAGGCTCCCTCAGGGTTCGTCAGGATTCCGCAGGACTCTTGAGGATTTCTCTGGACCCCTCAGGGTTCCTGAGGGTACTCCTGGATTCGCCTGGATGACCTGGGCATGCCGAGATGGTGAGGATCACGTGGCCTTGCTACGCGTTCGTGACCTGGGAGGGCCGAGCTGGCGAGCGTCCCCTGGCCCTGCCGAACAACGGCCCAGGACGGCTGCAAAATGGTGGGCTTCCTCCGGTCCTGCTACACACGCTCGTGACCGCGGAGAGGGCCGAAACGGGTGAGCACCCCATGGGCAGCCACGCGTGCTCCGCCCGGGGAGGCTAAGATGGTGAGAGTCCCGTGGCCCTGCCACACGTGCGTGCCCTCGGGAGGGCCGAGCGGTCCTGCCACACGCGCTCGCGGCCGCGGAGAGGGCCACAAGATGGTGAGCACTCCCCCACGGGCAGCCCCGCGGGCTCCGCCCGGGGAGGCCGAGATGGTGCGCGTCCCGTGGGGCACTGCCGCGCGTGCGCGACCTGGGAGGGCTGAGCTTGTCAGCCTCCTGCAGTCGAGAAACCCTACTGAGGACGCGCGGCTTTGCGCAGCGGTGCCCTCGCGTCCCTGCGCTTCCTTGCTCCTGCGTCCCTGGGGTCTTCGTCGCCCGCCGCCCCAGAAGTCCCAACTTCGGCCTCCAAGGGTCTTGCGTCCTTACTGCGCGTCCTTATCACTCCAGATCTCGTAATAAAAGGGAGGGGGTCTGGACCCTCCAAGACAAGCCATTTCAGACCTCCCCCGTGGGAGAACCCTCCAAAACATCGTCCCCAGACCCCCCAGGCCCTCCAAGATAGCCTGGAAGAGACCCCCCCCCGAAATGAGACCCCCCTCCCTTTATTACGAAATCTGGAGTAGGGCTTTTGACTGTGTGGCCTTGGCACGCGTTCGCGACCGGGGACACCTGGACTGTCGAGAGCCCGATGGCTCGGCCTCCCGGAACGGCCGCCGAGCCTGGGCGGAACTGGGCGGTCTCGGGTTCCCCGTCTCCCTTTTTGAGGTACGGTGTGTGATCGTCGACCACAGAAAAAACCCTCACCAGCACGCTGTTGGGAAACATGGCACTGTTGGATCGCCACCCCACAGAACAGAGATGAAGGATTCGGTCGTGAGGAATGTACGTATTTCCACCCTCGAGCATGGCCCCCCGACGCCCCACGGAGGAAGGATCTGGTAGCGAGTCGCAGTTCGGTCACATCAAGAATGTAAGCTTACATTCTTGCCGCGCCCCTCCTGACGCTGTTCAGTTGAGACAGGGTATTGGTTCGAAAGGCGGGCACATCAATAATTCAAGTCTTCAGTCTTGCTTCGTCCCCCCCCCCACACCCCGTGCAGGAGGGGTAGGGCAGTGGGTCGAAGACTGGGCAAGTCAAGCAGCATGCGCTTTCACATTCTTCCCACGCCCCCCAGACTCCATGGAGGGGTGGGATAGTGGGTCGAAACACGAACAACTAAGAATGTAGGCTTGCATTCTTGCTTCACCCCCCAACCCCCGCTGGGGATGGACAGGGTAGCGGGTCGAATGGTGGACAAACCAAGAATGCACGTTTACAGTCTTGTTCCGGCGCCCAAACCCCGTGGAGCAGGGATCGGGTAGTGGATCGAACAGCGCGCAGCTTGCGCACGTAGATTTCATTCTTTCTTCAGCCCGTCAAGCCCCATGGAGGAGCTCCTCCCTCCTGCTCCCTCCCCCTTCCTCCCCGTTCCTCTCCTCCTCCTCCCTTCTCCTCCCGCTCCTCCTCCCTCCTCTCCTTCCGTGGCGTGCGATCCCGCTCCTCCCTCCTTCTCCTCCCTGTCCCGACGGCTCCTCGGCGCCGCTCCGGGGGGGGATGGCCGCCAGCCCTCCGACCCGAGGTCGGGCGCCGACTCGTCGTGTGGCTTCCCCTGCGATTTGCGTCGGGCCTGTCCAGCAGCATTCAAAACTAGTCACACGATAGCCTGGGGACATTTTTTTTTTTTTTTTTTTTTTTTTTTTTTTTTTTTTTTTTTTTTTTTTGTTTTTTTTGTTTTGTACTTTTGAGCATGTTGGATGGAGCATATTGTCGTTTTGCTTCGTTTCGTTTTGTTTTTATATATAACAACTAGTTTTTCCTTATTTTTCGTCCGAGATCCCCCCTGTAGGGGGGACACGCCCGACTTAACCTTAGATCCCCCCTCTCCGCAGAACGAAGTTCGGCAGCACGTGGATTTGCGAGGGTGAGGCAAGCAGGGCGGCGAGATCTGTGCATACCCGCTTCTCCTGGCCGGGCCTATCCCGAACCCAGATCTCGCCGCCCGGACAAGCAGAGACCCGGGCTCCCCGTCCCTCCGCCCCGCGCTTGGGCCGCGCGTGCACGCTGCCTGCCTGCTGCCGTTCTCGGGTCAGGGGTGGGGCCGCTTGCGATGAGCTTGTTTTTTCACCACTATCACCACCACCATCAGTTGGAGGGGGGAAGGAGGAGGAGGAGGGCGAGGAGGAGGAGGAGGAGGACGAAGAGGAGGAGGAGGACGAGGAGGAGCAGGCGGAGGAGGACCCCCCCTTCCAACTTATGGTGGTGGTGGTGGTGGTGGTGCAAAACGCGCCCATCAGCTTGTCCCGCCCACCCACCCCCGTATTTTTTTCTTCTGTCCTCGCTTCTGCGGCGCCGCTGCGCCCGCCGCTGTGACTCCTGGTGCTCGGCCAGTGAAGAAAAGAGGAGGGCAGGGAGCGGGAGCTGGCGGCCTCCTCTTCCTCCCCCTCCACACTCCGAAGGGGGGGCGTTTATGCACGACCACCGCCCGGAGGATCGATGTTCGGAGACCACGCGGGGTGGTGGACGTGGATGATCTTCGGGCACCCGCGGGCCAAAATGTGTCCGTATCTACGGCCCGCTGGGTCCCCAGGACGTCGGCTCCCAGGCGGTGGATCTGGATAAATCCCCCGCCTCGCACAGACGCTTCCCACCCGCTTCCACTCCGCGATCGACTGAAGCTCTTCAGCGGCACAAGCACAGCATAGGGCATTTGCGGGTCTTCCTTAGGGACCTTCACCAAACAGACGTTTCTCATTTTACGGCGTGCTCAGCGGAGAATGGTCAGACTTGTAATTCGATTGCCACGGAATCGCAATCTGCAAATTTCCTTCACACGATGGACAGCCCTACCCAACAAGGCAGAACCTACGAGAGAGAAGACGACGCGTTGGAACTATGGGAGGATTTCATACGAAGATCGACGCGCACAGCTCTCTGCTCACTGCTCAGTGGCTCTCGGACTCCGGCTACACTGACAGCTCACAGCTCTCGCATTCTGTTTACTGTTCACAGCTGTCCGCGTACGACAGGTGAACATCCTGGACCTCAGCTAGGAGAGCGTCCATCGTCGGAAATGTGTTGCTCGAGCCAGAGCTGAGGAAAAGCCTGTGGGAGTGGGTCGAAGGGAGGGCTGTATATTACGGAGGGAGGAGGATATTGAGGGATGGGCTGGACGGCTCCTCCGCTTCTGGGACGGGGTCGAAGGCTCAGGAAGGCCAGAACTGCCCCCGGTCTGGCGGGGACTACGCTGAGAGCATCGATGAGCGCCAGCACCAGCCCTCGGTCCACACCCGCCAGCGGTCGAGAGCCGGGAGACATCGCGCCAACACGGACGGGGTCGCGAGCCCTCGCGCCAGCTTCGTCCGCGGAGCTTCGTCTTACTTGGCTGTGCACAGCCAGCCTCTTTTCCGACAAGCGCGAGAAGGGCCTCTTCCTCAGATTTCCGCCTCCTCCTCATAGGGAGGGGGGTGAAATGAAGAGGGGGGCCCCTGGTGGAAAGGGTGGAGCGAAAGGAATCAATCTGGAAGCAGAGATTGGGAAAGCAAGCAAAATTCGCCAGGAGGTGGAAGTCAAGGGCACGAACAGGGTGCCCGGGACCGCCACACCGGTTGTAACGGACTCGCACGAAGAAGTATTGGATGGGGTGAGATGTGATGCGGCCAGGACCATTGACCAACCGTCTCGGACAGATGGGTGATCCTACAAAAGGAGCGGCGAAGTGCCAGGACACGAGTGGCACGGCACAAGCTGCCGAGCCACAGACACCCCCAATTGGATCTCGGGGTGTGAGATGAGACACGGTGCAGCTGGGCCCGCTGACCGGTTGCCTCGCAGCGAATAGTAGCAGGTAGGCAGAGGAACAGCCGAACAGCTGATAGGAGAAATGAGTGCCGACCTGGTGTGTCGACGAGTCGCTTCCACAGAGAATGGAACAGCCAGGACAGCTGACAAGAGAGGAGCCCGTCGACCAAGGGCATCGACGGGAAGCCGGCGGCGGCGCGGGGACGGCTAGACCCCGACATTTGGAACAGGGCGCCTGCGCGCGAGACGAATCCAGCAAAATGCACGATGAACGAGCGAGGAAGACGAACAGATACCCGCGACCCCGCAGAAGCCCTTTCCCGAGTGCAAAGCCCCCTAAGAAAGGACACCCTTTGCTCATTGGACTCCCAACACCCACCACCCACTCCCAGCCCAGCGACTTTCGGAAGGGCAATGCAAGAGACGTGATACCGAAATCACCCGGTTTCTACGAACGTTAACTGCGCGAGACGGTGACGACGATCACAAAAGGTAGATACATATGGACGGGGCTGGAGCCGAAATTTCTGGTATACGTCAGCGCTGGGGAATGTGCATGCGACAGGCGGGATTAATGATAAGGCCGAACGATTCTGACGCAGTTCTTTTTCCGACTCCGCTTCCTGCACCTAGTTCTTCAGACTGACGATTGCGTCGTCTCTCCGACTCTTGCTGCAACTCCGCCTCCTACCCTTCCGTCGCAGGCGCCCAGAATCCATTTTTTCGGCCCTGGCCCCCAATTTCCGATTATGGATCGCATGTTTCCAACTGCGTTCGCGACTCCGTACATATTCTGTCCAACTCCGCCTCCTATTTGCTTCGCCTGTGGGAAAAAACACACTGGTGGGAACAACAACACACTGTGGGAAACAAAACACACTGTGGGGGAACAAACACACACACCCACACCCACACACCCACACACCCACACACCCACACACCCACACACCCACACACCCACACACCCACACACCCACACACCCACACACCCACACACCCACACACCCACACACCCACACACCCACACACCCACACACCCACACAC